TTCTCAACTTACATAATTTTGTGACTTTGGATTCCAAATGAAAGGAAAATATTCATTTCACCATTAGTGTTGTAAATTAAAATAAAGTTTTAACCTTTCAATATTTAATCCATTTAATTTTCTGTTTTTATTTATTTAATAATCACTTTTAACACAATTAAAACATCATAAATCATGTTATAACCTCTATTTTAATGGCTTCATTGTGGGGGTTGATACCTATAAAATGTGGTTACATCTCTTTGAAAATGAGCATTTAGAATTACAACTTGGAAGATAAACAATATATACAACTTTTACTATATTTCTATATTTTGGCAACCCAGTGAGAGGCTCGTTCATTGATCTTTCCCTATGATCGTGCCCTTAAAGGAAGAGCCACATGGGATTGTTGTAAATTAAAATAAAGTTTTAACCTTTCAATATTTAATCCATTTAAGTTTCTGTTTTTATTTATTTAATAATCACTTTTAACACAATTAAAATATCATAATTCATGTTATAACCTCCATTTTAATGACTTAATTGTGGGGGTTGATATTACCCATAAAAGGTGGTTACATCTTTTTGAAAAGGAGCATTTCGAATTACAACTTGGAAGATAAACAATATATACAACTCTTACAATATTTCTATATTTTGGTAATCCGGTGAGAGGTTCGTTCACTTATTTCTCCTTATGGTTGTGCCCATAGAACGAGAGTCACATGTGTTTTATCTTGGAGTCGTGTAGTGCCGAATAAACTCGCACGAAGGGAAGACAACACGACTTTAAGACAACGTCCTCGACAAGACTTCCAAGACTTGATTTCTGTTCTCAATTTCTATGTTCTCAATTTCTATTATATTATTGTTGAATTATGTTTGTGCTGTATAATTGTTTATGTTAATTGATAAAAAAAAATCTACACTCAAATCACCAATTTTTCCAATAATTAAAAGATCAAAATTAGAATAACTATTTTAAAGCCAAACAGTATATTATTCATGGCATCTATTATCATAATGTTTACAATGCATTGGAACGGTTCATTCGACCAGAAAAGTTCAAATTTTTTATTCTTTTTATCAAAAAAAAAAAAAAAAAAAAAAAAAAAAAAAAAAACACATACACAATCAAATACAATGTAATTAAATAAAATTTTTTTTTTTTTTTAAAAAAAAAAAAAAAAAAAAAAAAACAACAACTCTAAGCTAGAGTATGTGCAGCCATATTTGCTATCTTCGAATCAGCGTGCAAGAAATTCTCGAAAGGGTGCGATGGATGAGGACTTCCTCCACCTTTGATTCACCTCCGCCATTTGTCTTCATTTCTTTGATTCATCAAAATTGTGTCATTTTCACCAAAAATTTTATTAGCATTTTTAATCGTTACACCAAAATTATTGAGATTGCCGAAATTTTCAAAAAAGGACAAAAATTTACCAAATCCAAATGCTATAGGCTCAAAATGAGTCAAAATTGAAAATGGCAGAATATCGAGAAGAAAATCAATTTTACTAAAATATTTGAATTCGATAACAGATCTAAATTAAGGTCAATTTTTTCAAATGAACAAAAAAGAATTATACCCAAAATAATAATAAAAATAATTCATCAACAAGGATCTCGAAGCATCTCTAGACCTTTTGGTCAATATTTTGATGGATCCAGCAATGATCTACCAGAATACGTTTATCTTGTACTTTACTTTAGACTCAGTTTTCAATGTTATGTTATTATAGTGCTTTTTTTTTTTTAATTGTAATTATCAAATTTATAACTTTAGAATTTTAATTAGCAGTTTTATTTTTAAGTGTATTACTTATTACTTTATTATAAATATTAATAAAGATGATAATATATTTAAAATAATTTATTATGCAATAAAATGATATAAAAATAATATAATAGGAATTAAAATTAATTTTAGTATAAGATTAAGAACAAAATGAGACATAACTTAAATTGCAAATATTACACCAAATTAACAGTGTAAGATTGTTCATTCCTCTCATTAACACTTTGTAGTATATGATTTGAATTATTGCCAAGTTTGGGTGGCATCATTGAATTTGTTCTCCTAAGAAACCCTTTTTTTTTTTTAAACAAGAAATCATTTTCTTTTTTTCCCTTAAAAAACTCATTGAAATTGTGTATTTTCAAAGGTGCACCCTCTCCCTGTCATGACTAAAAGAGCTAGTGAGGATTGATTCTTGAATTTCATTATGTCAGTTATTTCGATGAAAAGAATGATTTTAAAAATACATTTGAGTAAGGTTGAACACGATTCAATTTTTATATAGTTTTTGTACTATTTTCAAATCAAACTATTTAAAATGATTCGAATTATTTTCCAAACCAAAACCATTTTTGTGGTTCGATTTGAAGTCAATCCAAGGTTTTGATGTTGTAAAAACAAAATATTTTAAACAAATGAAAAGATAAATATGTTATAGCACTAATATATTTGTTTATATACAAGCTAAAACCTATAAGTTGATACAAGATTCTATCATAAAATTTAAGCTGACAAATTTATTATTTTTGAAGTAGATAACAAAACAATTATCATAAGTTATTATTTTCAAAAGAGTCAATAGAGGCGGACTAGCAATTCAATTTGTTGATGTATAACTTGAACTAATAAATAGTATTTTGGGTTATAATGGGTAAATAATTTGATTTGATTTGATTTGATTTTAAGCGATTTTAAACTTTCACAAACTAAACCAAACTATTTTCAAAAGGTTTGGTTTCCCTTCTAAAATATTGAAAACTAAACTAACCAATTTCCAAATCAACAATTTCAAAATCACAATTTCGGTTCGAGTTGGCGATTTTTTTGTTCACTCCTAAATTTGAGTCCCTAGCCTCGAGCTTATGAGCCTTGCAAACTACAACACCGCTCTATTTTGCATCTAAGAACACTCCAATCGTGATGTAAATAAATTTAAATTATTATTTAAATCTTCAAAGCAGTCGAAAACATTTTTAGTTAAGAGATGTAAAGGAAAAATAAATTGCATTTTTAGACAAAAAAATGTATAAAATGATATAAATTCACATCTTATTTTACATCCACAAAAGGCAAAAAGTGAATTTAAATCTTCTCATTGAAGCAAAATTTGAATTTAGACCCACCTAGAGGTAAATGATGATACAAAAATAATTCTGAAGATATTAATTTACACCCAAATTTACACCTCCACTGAGTCAAATCAGGGTAATATAGGTTATTCAACCCCCGTTCGGCCTCCATTCTTTCCAAATTTTAATGATTGGAATAGTGTTGTTTTGAAAAATGTATGGTTGAAAAAGAATGAATTTTTTTTGATTTATGTGTAATATTATTTTATGGAAGATTGTGTGGTTGAAAATAAGAAAAAGAAAAGGAATGAGAATGAGAATGGGACTCAAAGGAAGGCTCAATTCTTCACCCTAATATTAAGTTGGGCTATAAGGCACGATGTTCAGTTTGCTTGGTAGTGAATTGTCCTCAGCAACATCAGTCTTCTAATGCAGGGAAAAATGCATATTTATTTTCCAATCCGACCCCAAGTCCTATCCGTTAAAACTGAACATTTGAATCCTTAACCTTTCAATTTTGTGACGCCACAAGTCCTTCAGATGATCCATCCAAATTGTCAGATGAAATCTTGACATAATTCGAAATTGCAAAACAGAGTCTATTTTATCAAGGGGATTGATAGAGCTTCGGAACAATATCACTCTTTGCACTAAATTCTGCAATAAAATAAATTAAATGTAACTACTGCTTTGAAATTTTGTTGCTCCGTTTAATTCTCATTTTCCCACTGAATACAGAGGCAAACATCAGTAGCAGCACCGACATGGAACCCCAAATTTTCAATTAAAAAAAATAAAAATCCTTCTGCCATTTGAAAATAAAAGGGGCATACCTTGAGGATGCATATACAGTCCCATTTTCTTCTGCTAGACATCGGTGACAAGAAGACGGCTATTACTCCTTGAAGGCCGATTTTTGATAACTTAAGTTTCTTCCGTGAATCTTTAGAGTGAAACCATCCAAGTTACATGATTTACATCTGCTCACGATACACAGAAGCAACCACAGGCTGGCTTCCAATCGAAGTTACAAGTCAGAAGTTAACGAGAGAGAGAGAGAGAGAGCAAAAAAACTGTATTCCTCCTTTAACAGCATAATTAGGACAGTTCAGCATTCTTCCTACTTATAAGTAGGTATATTCTATAATGGATACAGATTAAACAAATTCGCAAAGTATATCAAACAAGAAAGTAGATGCCATTGACTCCTTGAAAGAATGATATATAACAAGTCTGAGAAGTGAATAGCTGCTCATTTCAAAATTCAACTTAAATTATCTACTGACAGGATATTTCAAAAGGTACAAGTAGCAAAAAGAGAAAAGAAGTCCTGAGTACATCCATCGGAGAAATGAATTTCTAACCATACCTATCAAAAAAAAAGAATTTCTAACCATAAAAACTATTTTTACCTTGAACAGAGAACATAATAAACTAAAATATGATTGTCAATCAAAAGAACAGAAAAGACATTGATTGTATAGCAGCAAGAGGACAAGCAAACCATAATGGATCATCCATAAAATGATTTAGGCTTACATCCTATTAACTCAACAAAAACTGATTACTTATTATCTGAGGAGGAACTGCAAAAGTTCACATAACAGGGGGAAAAAACGGTGAGTTCATCATACTACTAAAAACCACATCAATTTACTGCAAACGTAAAGTTAGTTCAATCAACTGAAAGAAAGAACATTGGGTCGTATTAGAAACTGTATTTTTCACACCATATAACCTAGACACAAAAATCAATCACCAATTCTCCATAGCTTAAGAGCTATTAAGTCCGAAGTGCCGGGAAAACAGCAGCAAGGCAATCTTCTTATCAACTGCAAAAGATAACACCTGATCTAATCCAGAGAGAGGACAAGAACATCAACGCAGTAAATGGGAAGAGAACAAAAACTGAAATAGTAGCACAATCAAAATATCTGGATTAATCATGATCTCTATGCAGAGTCGAAAGGCAGCATTACAAATCAATAAAGAATTACACCAAAGAAATACTCATATACTGCACAAGGAGTCAGTATCAAGAACGAATGCGTACAAAAACAATGGGGAATACATGTTCGGTAACTGCTACATAGGGAACAAAGAATCAAGGGTCAACGCTTCAAAAAGATTTATTGTACAACAAAAGGCAGCTAAAATGTAAAAACATTCCACAAGCTACATAATTCACACAGGACGGCTAAATTTTATATATGAAATATTACAGGATTATCAAACGACCTACACATGACTAACTAGGAGGCAGGAGGCGAGGAACCTTTGGAGTGCAAATTGAACCACATACATTTATCTTTAACCGCTTCAGATTCAGTTGCATACTCTTTGAATCTGTACTCTTCCTGCTTGCAGTTAGGAGGCACTTTTCCGTCACTGTAGCATTGACTGCAAAGACTAAAGTGTGATTTCATCTCTTTAAAGCGGGATCCAATGATGGGATAACGACAAGTAGAACAGACATGGCGACCATGGCGAGTTCTATCCCCAGTTTCAAGCTTCAATAGAGTCGACATGATACCGAAGCCCCATTCTTGATCATCAAACATCGCAATGAACTCAGTTATAGAGACCAAAGAGTTATCCGTTTCTCCATGGATTTCCAGTATTTCACTAATACCATGGGAGGGAATATAGATGGCCCTCAATAGTTTGATGTATCTCTGGGCATCAGCCCTTGATATCTGTGCTCTACCTTCATTTACTGGGCGCCACAAGAGTGCATCATATGCAATCCGCTTTCTCTTGTCCAGAGAACCACCACAAATAGGTGAAAGGACAGCAAAAAACATGCCCAAGTCCACCCTACCTAACTCCGATTCATCCAGAACAGAAAGGATTTTCTGGTTTACAGCTTTGACAGCTCCTGTAAATGTTTCAGGCTTCAAGAATTTAAGTAACTTGCGGAGAATTCCCTCCAATGAAGCCTTGCGTATGGACTTTTCAGGTATACCACTGCCCGAATAGGATTCTGGTACATCACTTTCATTCATTTCTTTCTTTATTAGTTCTACCTCACACCGATTCAACCTAGTGATCCTCTGAAAAGCTCTAATATCAAGGGCAACAGCGAGTTCCGGCCTCAATGTAGTTTTCTCACCTACAACCTTAAATTTTGAGGGTTCCACAGTAATGTAGGCCTCCTCACCAGTACCACTTCCTTTCCCTTTCTTCTTCTGTAGCTGCTTCAAGTGTGATATAGCATCATGCAATTCGACCCTGTTAGTCATTTTTAAAGCTTCTTTCAGAGCTTTCTTAGCTTCGTCAGTTTCCCCAGCTCCTAACAAAGAAACTGCCTTATTTAGCTGTGCTCTCCAATGGTTTGGCCACACACCCAAGACTCTGGTATACATCTCTGATGCCCTCTGATACCTACCCATATCCATATATAGCCCGCCCAAATTGTACAATGCATCCACGTGACCAGGTTTCAAGTCAATAGCTTTCTGAAACTCCTTAATTGCATTATCATCATCACCAACAGCATGCAAAGCAGAAGCCAAATCACAGTGTGCATCAGCATAATCATTCTTCATGTAAATAGCCTCTTCTAAGGCCTTAATGGCGGCCTTATTCTCACCCACACCGAATAGGGCACTACCCAAAAGCTTCAAAGCCCTAAAATGTGTAGGGCACAAAATAGCAGCTTCTCTATAATGCTCACAAGCACTAATAAGCATTCCTTCACCTTCAAGTGCAATTCCCAAATTCACATGAATCTGAGGCAAAAGATACGCCCATTGATTTCCACCAACCTCTGCTGCCTCCAGTGCAAGTTGAAATTCCCCTTTGGCCTCACCATGCCTCCCGAGCACATACAAACAATTCCCGGCTCTAAAATGCGGTCTGACATCAGTTGGCTGCAACTCGCATGCTCTCTTAAAGCTCACCAAAGCCTCCTTAATTAAAAAATGTTCATATAATACTCGACCAATCGCCATATGACCATCAAAAGCCTCTTCCCTTGACCTTGCTCCATCAGCCCTAGACCTCAAAACTCCCAACTCCTTAACAAAAACTGCATAGTCATGCCCTGACTCTTCCCAAATCACCCTTTTCTCCGGAATCTCCACTGATGGGCCGAGCTCCCGAGACCAGCCCGGATCTGAATATACATCAGAATTATCATTTTTCACCTTACCATCCTTGGACTGCTTCGACTTTAACCTTTTAATTAATATTTCAAGATCGTCAACAAGCTTCCATGTATCATCAAAGACAATGCCATGGTTAGGGGAGGATGCCCAGGCAACGGTGCGCTGTTTTTTGTGGGGCTCCATCACACGCTCATCTGCAATGGACGAAGACGAGGCTGGCTCCTCTAATGCCAACGAAATTCCATTTTTCTCCTCGGAGGGCTTAAGCTCGAGGCCAAGGGCATCAAAATCGCGGTCCACATCACCAGCTCCGTCATCGTAGGTTCGAAGGAGGCCATCGAACGTCAGGCCCTTTTCACCGTCGATGAATTCTCCGTAGGTACGAAACACCTCGTCGAGGATTGCATTAATTTGCTCCTCGCTAAATTTAACCCTAGGGTTCACCGCCACCACGAGAGCAGCCATTTCCTCTCGGTTAAGACCGCCATCCCTGTTCGCATCGAATTGCTGAAATATTCTTTTAACTTTCTCCGATTTGCTCCCTCGAGTCGACATTTTTTGTTCCTTCTGCTCTCGAATTAAGGGTTTAGGATTAGAAACACAAGCGAAAGAGCTTTCTCGCTAATTAAATTTAAGGGTCATAAATTTTCAGATAAAGGAACTCGAAATCCAGGATTTGATTTTCAATTAGGGTTTCAAAGTGAAGAAATTGAAATTCTAGGGTTTCAGAACTCTACGCAAGAAATGTGAAAGTACGAAACCCTAAAATTACAGCAATTAAACTCCAAAATCCAAGATTTTGCTTCTTTCCCTAAGTTCTTATCAGGATTTTGAGTACAAACAACAAAATTCTAGGATTTCAGAAAGGCCCGGTACTTCTAATTCTGTGAAAACCTAATATTGAAGGGGGTAAAAATTGGAAAAATTATTCAATTGAGGGAAATATGACTGTTATGTTAGCTGCATTGGATCTCGAAATATGAGGATGAAAAAGATTCAATCTTCTCTTTCTTTTTCTCTCTCTAATTTTTGTAGCCATTGTTTGCTTCTGGCTGTGATGATGAGAGTGGGGGGACAGATAACAGAGTGCTGTACCTTTAGAATTTCTTTTAATTTGTTTATTTGTCTCTTATCTATTTTGGGTCAATTAAGTTTAGTGGGTCTAATTATTGTTTTAATTATGAATTACTTAACTACTTATGATAGATTACAGTCTGATTGGTGGAGAGTTTGTCATCTCTTTGACTTTTTCTTTTTCTTTTATGACACGAGAACTCTTTGTAACCACTTAAATTGCACTGGACGAAACATGTATGAGATACTCCAATCATCCAACAAATATACTCTTTACTTTTTAATTTTATATAGATTAAAAAAATTAATTAATATAATTGAACTATGAGTTTTACTTAATTTTCCCTAATATACTCCTAAAGTTTAATGGTATGAACTATTTATTGATATCAAAGTATACTAAATAAAATCAGTGGACTATAAATGAATAATAATAGTTCCTAATATACTCCTAAAGTTGAATAATGGTATGAACTATTTATTGATATCAACGTATATTAAATAAAATAAGTGGACTATAAATGAATAATAATAGTTCAAATTTGTTTATAACAAAATAATTAAATATGAGCATATTTTATAATTTTAAAAAAGGAAAATTGGAGCTGAGGCTCCAAAACTTTGAAACATTAGCAGACTTTTTCCAAATCTTTCATTTGCGGCAGCCATCACCGCTAATTTTTCCAAACGTTGCAGATAAGGCCCCTTTGGACGATTTTCGTCAAAAATTCTGTTAGTTGACCGAAAATTTGGACTTTGACCATCTTTAATCAATTATAAAGGGACAATATGGTAACTTTCTATTTACCACTTTAAAAAACTTAAATAAAAAACAACAAAAAAAAAAAAGAAGAAGAAAACAAAATAAAAAGGAAAAAATCTTCTCCTCCTTCACCCCACCCCCACCCTCACCCTCACCCCAACCCCAACCCCAACCCCTAACAACTATTCCGTTATTCTTGTCTTCAACAGCATTTCTTAACGTTTTTAAGTTTCCTTAAACAAGAATATCGATCTCTCTCTCTCTCTCTCTCTCTCTCCCCTCTGCACCAAGGAAATCCCAAATCCAAATGCGACGACGGCGGCCTCAAAAACCCTATGCAATCTCCATTCTTTCTCTGTAAAAATGGCTTCTGAAGAACCATCCCAAAACCTAACAAACCCTGAAGATCAATTGCAAAATGAGGAAGGAATGTCACTTATTTTCATGTTGCTCCCAGCTGGAACCATATTCCAATGTCTCCCACCTGAACGGACGAAACATGTACAGAACTTCAGGCAAGCTTTTGAAAAGAAGGGCTACACACACATACGGCTGCCATGGCCACCATTGAGAGCATTGCAAGCTTATAAAACAAAGTTCGACTGCTGCTTCTGTAAACAAATTTATGATTACAAATACCACAGGGACGTGAAACACTTCCTTCCGACATTCCAATTTCAAAACTAGTGATCGCTCCTTCATTTTTCTTCTAGTTCTTGTTCAGAAATGTCAACAGTGGTGAATTTTTTATTGTTGGTTTGGCGTGGGATAGGATGTGTGGGTGGGGAAGAAGATCCATTTTTCTTTTCTTTTCCTTTTTTTTAGGTTTTTTAAATTTTTGAATGTGGTAAATAGAAAGTTATCATATTGTCCCTTTATAATTGATTAAAGATGGTCAAAGTCCAAATTTTTGGTTAACTAACGGAATTTTTGACAAAAATAGTCCAAAGGGGTCTCATCTGCAACGTTTGAAAAGTTTAGGGGTGACGGCTGCCACAAATGAAAGGTTTGGGAGAAAGTCTACTAATATTTCAAAGGTTTGGGGCCTCAGCTGCAATTTTCCCTTAAAAAAATTAACTATAATCTAAAAAATGTAAATGAAAACTCTCTCTCTCTCCCTCTCTCTATATATATATTATGAGTAATATTATTTAGTCCCATTGAAATTACAACTTTAATTTAGGTGATGCTATTGTGTCATTAAATAATAAGTTCCACATTTTATTTCGTTTATCATATAACGTCATATAGACTAGGGTTGCAAACCCCATTGAGGCTTTATAGCGTTACTTTTTTTTTATTCGATTAAAGAAATTATGACCCAATCATATTTCATCACATCACATATATGTACATCAATCTGTAAGTAATGATATACATGTAGCACAAACCGAGTGTTTGCTCTACCTGACCTTTCTTCTGGTTTTCTGATAGAGTATTCCGGAATCTCTTTTGGGTCTCTTCCCATTCCTTTTATCTTTTTGTGTAATTTTCTAAATTTCTGGTTTTAGATTTGATCTTTGTGTGGATAGAGTCATTGTGATTTTTTTTATTAGAAGGGTATGGTTGAGATCAGTGTGGTCTATTGAAGTAACTACATAATACTCTTCGAGGGTTAGGGTTTTATGTGGTCTTTTCTTTTGTACAGAAAAGTACATTGTTCTGACCCCCTAAATCAATCGATTCATTGATGCTAATGATTCTTTTAAGTTTTGTGATTCTTGAGGAATTATCGGTGTTTGTGTGTTCTAATTTTTTGGGTTCCAATTATAACAATGGTATCAGAGCCATTCTTAGATGTACGTGTTACCTTGTTCGTGATCTGTTTGTGGGAAATTAATTTTCACAACTAGATCTTAATATATCAAACAATTGATGAAACACTAGATGCTATTGTTGGCGAATCGTGGTTTTTTTTTTGTGGTGATTCTTTGGAAGATATTGGTTCTCTAGCAATTTATTGTTCAAATCTCGAAGAAAATGTTTAGATCTTAGCTTTCCGTGAATCATTCTGGAAACACCTAGGTACTTCGTGGGTATTACTCAAAACCAGTGGATAAAACTTCTAACCCCCTACTAGGTTCAGTATATTCATCTTCCCTAAACTCTAATTTTTGAGTTCTTTAATTCTTTGAGCATAAGCGTGTTAATTCCTATTTTCAAATATATTGAACCATATATTCTAATTCTTTGTTGACATTTGATTTTTCATTCCCCTGCTTCTCCTCTTCACTTTTTTTCCTGTTTCTTGTGTTTTGAATTGAACCCTGACTTGAGGTCTTGAGCTTTAAGGGATCTAGGTGAATTCGAACACATAAAACTTGAAGGAACCCCTATTGTCTATCGTAATACGATTGAATTATTCATTGTGATTATCTGCTCTTGAACTTGTTGATACTCTATATCTTGTGTGACCTTGTGTGTTGTCAAACATTTTATTGGGAATATTTGAGGTTTCTGTTGAACACTGACTTTAAATCATTTTCTTGTATTGATTAAAAACTTCAAATGATGATTATCACGTTTGAACTTGGAGTTTTTAATGGAAAATGAGATTTTCCCATTTGGGAGCAAAAAATGATAGGAGTCCTCGTTCAAAAGAAAATTTCAAAGGCAATAACTAGTGAATTTCCTAAAATTATGACTGCTAATAAAAAAATTGAATATGATGAACTTGCCTATACTTCTATCATTCTTCATTTGTCTAATCAAGTATTAAGAAGCTTGACAATGCTAAGCCTTGGTGGGACAAATTAGAAGAACTTTACTTGGTTAAGTCATTACCTAATAAATTGCTCATTCTAGAGAGGTTTTTTAGCATTAAGATTGATCTGTACAGGGACTTAGATGATAATCTTGATACCTCTAATAACTTAGTACAAGATATCACTATAGTACAAGATATCACTAATGCTGCGGACAAAGTATCTAAGGAATACAAGGTTGCTATCCTTCTTAATTTCATACCTGAGGCATATAAAGATGTCAAAGCTTTCATCAAATATGGCAAGAATTCCTTGACCTCTGAGGTCATAATAAATTCTATAAGAATCAAAGAAGTGAAAATTACTAAAAGACATGGGAAGGAATTTGAAAGTCTGTTTGTGAGAGGTAGATCTCTAACTAGACAAGGGAACAATTAGGGCAGCTAGAATCATCAAGGGAGTAATACCCCTAAGAAGAAAGAGAAAGGAAAGCATAGGTCAAAGTCTAGAAGTGAATATAGGAAATGTTATTGGTGTGATAAGACATGACACTTTATAAAAAAAAAATGCTATAAGAATAAGAATGAATATGGAGAGATAAAAGCAGATAAGGGAAATATAGTTAAACCATTAGATGACGGGACTATGAATTCACCCCTGATCTGGATACTGCTAATTATGCAGATAACAATGATCAAAATCTTGAGCGGATTTCGGTCTTGGGCTTGAACTTTCCATATGACCTCTTGAAGACATTGGTTAGAAGACTATAAGGTTCTATATGGAGAAGAGATCGATATGGGCAATAATGCTGCCTGCAAAGTTAAGGGGATTGTAGTACGAATTTGAAATTTAATAATAAATATACCTTTACTCTTGAAAAGGGTCATGTGTGTCCCTGACTTAAATAGAAACTTAATTTCAATAGGAAATCTAGATGACATAGGCCTACAATGTAGGATTGGAAATGGCCATTTGATGTTATTAAGGGTTCGCTTGTTATTTTCAAAGGTACCAAAAGAAATGGTATATATGTCATCGAGGCCAATGCTATTTAAAATCACACTGCTGAGTTCTCCAATGCTGAAATTAACGCAACACTAAAGTGGCATAACAAGTTAGCACATGCTAGTGAGAAAGGTTTGCACGTTTTAAGTAAGAATGGGGCGTTTGGTAAAGATGTTATTTCTAGAGTTCCTTTTTGTGAGTACTACGTCTTTGGTAAACAACATAGGGTTCATTTTAGCATTGGAAAGCAAAAAATTGTATCTATTCTTTAATACATACACTTTGACCTATGGGGCCATCATCTACCACCACCTAAGGTGGAAATAGATATTTTTCTATCCTTCATTGATGATTCTTCAAGAACAGTTTAGGTATTTCTTTAGAAACAAAAATCAAACACTTTTGAAAAGTTTAAAACTTGGAAAATTTTAATTGAAAATCAAGTTGGTAAAAAGATCAAGGTTTTAAGAATAGACAATGGTTTGGAAATTAATGCTGAATTTGATTGACTTTTTAAAGATGCTAGGATCTTTAGGTATAAAATGATCCCTTT